ATGGGGGTATTTTATAAATGAAATTATGGGATCTTAGGATTATAAGATTATGAGGAAAACTTAGAGATATTTTAAAAATCAATATTAAATTTACAAATATTTTACTAATTTACCATTGAGTTCAAAGAATTATATGCAAACCCCATCCCTAATTTAGGGCAAAACTATTTTCCCTATCCCCACCCCGTCTCTACCCTATTCCCGTTTACGATTTGAGAAAACTTGCCCCATTTGGGACGAGGTAGGGTAGGGCCCCAATTTTATAGGGAAAATTGTCATCCCTACAATTCTAATAATTTTTTATAACTAATTAACTAACAATAAATTACAATATTTTATGATAATTTTCAAAAAATTATTGAAATTGCTATTGATTAGTAGTAATGTATATTAAATTAATTATTTACAATAACAATAAATTAATATAAATTATTTAGTTTTTAAGCCTAAATGGTTTACTATTAATCAAAGTAAATGCAATTATAGTAAATTAATGTAACTATGATAAATTACATTATTTCTAATTAAAAGTAAACCATTTGTTGTTAATTATTGTAAAGCCAAGTATGATCAAGGTCAACCAAGTGGTCTAGATTGGTGTAAATAGACTTTAATAATTTTCCTAAATTATTTAATAATTATTTATTGAAATAATAATAATAATGGATTATTATTTAAATAATTATGAAGCAATTTCTGATAGATTAATTTCCTAATTTAATTAATCTAATTTTTTTAATAATTATTTATTTGAATAATAATAATGGATTATTATTTAAATAGTTTTGGAGAATTTTTTATAGATTAATTTCTTAATTTTTAATTACTTATTTAAAAAAGCAATTATAGATTATTAGTTAAAGGGTTTCCCTAAATTATTTGATAATTGTTAACTATAATTGTTGACTTCATAGAAATTAATAAATTGCGTTAATTAGTAATATCTTTTATCAATATATTATTATTATTATTATTATTATTATTATTATTATTATTATTATTATTATTATTATTATTAAAATTTAATGAAAGTTTATTAAATTACAATGCTTAATGTAAATTACAATAAACATTGAAATTTTAAACATTGATTATTTATTAATTTTTTGTAGATTATTAAATTATTTAATATTTGTTAAATAATGGATTATTTCTGAAATAATTATTTCATAATTTTTGGTAAAATATTTTCTAGAAATTTCTAATAATTTTCATAACTAATGAATTATTTAATAGTAATGGAAAATTCCATGAATATATTGGAAACATCGAATTCCCCTTATTCCCCTCTTTGCTTGAAATCACGTTTATAGATATAAATATTGTTTGATTTGGAAAACCGAATCTTAATAAATTATGACCCTATTTTTATGGGAGAGTGGAGAGAATAGAGGGAGATTAGAGATAGAAGTGAAGGAGAAGATAAAACATATATTGAGCTAATTAAGGAGAGAAGTTAGGTTGTTATAGAAAGTGAGAAACATGAGTTGTGGGGGATGAGAGAGAAACCAATGAGAAGGGAGAAGAATGAAGAGAGAGGGTGCTAAGATGGCAAATTGGGAGTGAACCGTTTTGCTATATATATAGATGGGTAAAATACAAAAACCTCCCCTGAAGTTTCTGACAATCATAAAAATCTCCCTTATAATTTCACTTTAGCAAAAACCTCCCCTAGATTGTTAAAGAATTTGATAAAAACCTCCCTTCCATCAATGTCTAAGACGGAAAGCACTAAATGGAAGAATCATTTTTTCTAAATACCTAATTTACCCTTTTTCAAATTAGTTGCATCTATTTTTAGTTTTTTACTGAAATAATACCCTTGCTGGCATATTATACTCTTTCCTCTCCCGTTGACCTCTTTACCCCTGAACTCCACCATCTGAAGAATAGGAACACAACATTCATTTCACCAATCCAAACCCATTATTCAGCTCTCTTTTCTTCTCCTCCCTCCTCACCGTCCCTACACAACACACCGAATTGTCATCGGAACCTCTCTGTGGGGGTGGTTCGGTGTTGTATTCCAATGCATGAAATTAATCTAGCTCTCTCTTTTAAACCATGAGAACATGAAATTAATCCATCTATATTCCAACTAAATAGAACATGAAATCTAATGAATCTTTGATTGAGATTTGAGGGACCATATACTGCTATACTAGAAAAGCGGAGGTTGCAGCCTGCAGGTTAACCAGCAGCTGTCCTGCAAACTGCAATGAAGATTGAAGAATGATCATAACTCATAACATAACATGACCTCTCTCTTTCTCTCTCTTCGTTTGACATTTGAATCTGACCAACGATCATCACCATCGCTCTGAGTGTAAACTTGATGGTCTGTCTTCTTCTTTAGATGACACTTGGTTGGGAATGGCGACCGCCATGGCTCCAATGGTGGTGTTATATTCGTGGTGAAGATTCAGGCTATGTGGAGGCGGTTCGGTGCTGTGTAGGGACAATGATGAGAGAGGAGAAGAAAAGAGAGATAAATAATGGGATCCCTCCTCTTCGGACAGTGGAGTTCTCTACTGACATGCATAAAGTATGGTAATGTAGGGATTGGTCCGTTGCTGCTCAAAAACCATGAATCTTGATATGTTCCTTCTTTACAATTCCGGCCTAAACGAGGAATGTCAACACATTTTTCTATTGATCACCTTGAAGTTGAATAACTTGGCCTAGCTTTGGGTCCTGGACAATAGTACCATTTCAGCAAAATTCCTTCTTCAGATCCTTGAGTATTTTGAAGTAATTGAATTCCTCCCTCAAACCTTGCACTGTTAGGATTTTCCAACCACTTCTCTGCTATATACGCACATGCACATACTCCTTTTCCCCAGCACCCGAGTCCTCAGCATTTGCCTCTGCAAAGGGATGGAAGGCTGTAGGAATCTGGATGTCGTGTTCAGACATGAACCTTGGACGTTGAAAGTGGAAGACTACAAATGGAGTTTCAAAGGTATGGCCAATTGAAGAAGAAAGAGATTGATGAGAGAGGAAAAAGGGATAACATGCTGATAGGGGTAAAATAGGTATTTAGAAAAAATGATTAATCGATTTAACGTTTTTTGTCTTGGTCATTGACAGAAGGGAGGTTTTCGTCAAATTCTTTAAAAATTTAGGGGAGTTTTTTTTTTAAAGTAAAAATATAAGAGAGGTTTGTATGATTGTCAGAAACTTCAAGGGAGATTTTTGTATTTTACCCTATATAGATGGATATGATTAATGTTTACTTATATTCTTAAACTAGGGTTGGGGTGAGTTGAGGGAGGGGGATGGGCTACCCCCGTTGTGTAGCCACATGAAGCAAAAACGCAAAATAAAAAAAAAAAAAAAACAACCAACATGATCTAACACCGCACATCTCATAATGGGTCCTAGTCTCATGGTGAGAGATGTGTGGTGTTAGATGGTCGAGAATTGGAACGTGATTTGTTGGCAGAAAATCTCAACTCAAGTTCTGGCAATGTAGTGAGAACTGCACATGTAACAGTGGATGGATGCCATTAGAAGGACCCAGTTAATTTTTTTGATTCACTAACTGAATTTAAGGTGGCCGCCCCTCCACCTTAAATTTTGGGTACCACTGAAAAGCATCCTCCTTAAAGTGGCCTCCACCCTGTTGTTGCTATCTGAACCAGGATTAATACCCAAATGCTGCCGAAAGTTTGTGAGAAATGCTTCTCTTGCAACAGCAGTAGTATTCCTTGAAATTTTCAATTGCTGTATTAATTATTCTCCCTTTCTGAGTGTAGGAGGTGAAGAAAGTTTTATTAGGAGTCAGGAACCTTTGTTGCCTTGCTTCTGATCTGTGGGCCCTTGAAATGCTCCTTTAAACCATTAATCCGTGTTGAAGATAAGGAATGTGGGCCATATGATGCTCTTTCTTTAGAGCAGACAAAGAGTAATCAAGATTCCCTTTTTCCTTAATTAATGCCCCTTCATTGAGTTAGATGTCACATATTACAAACTTCATTCATCAGATTTCAGATCAGTAACGCCAAGAGGTCTTTAATTATTCAGCTTCAACTACCACTCCTGTACTGTTTGATCGATCTAAAGTCTCTTTTTTCCTGTTGGTTGCTGCCTTTTCTGGTTCATTTGATCTTAAAAAAGATTAATAATTCTAATATCAAGTACATTTTTTGGGTTTCTTCATCATTTGCAGTCAAATAAAATGAACCCATATGGGGATTTGATTTCTGTCATTGTATAAAAAGCTGGAATTCATGCTCAGTAATAAATGTATCTCAGTGCTCATTGAATTGCATGTAGTGATAGGGAATGAGCTTCCTTCCTTCTTCCTCTGCTTCTGCTAGTCTGCTACTATCCTTCTTTACTTCACGTGGTGGTGATATAAATAAGTAGGGCTAAAAAGCTTGTGGGTTGGGTTGGGCCGTATATTAAGTGTTAAACTTTGAAGGGTGTTTTCGTAAATATAAATAAAATAAAAATGCAGATTTTAGACTGAACCTAAAAGGTGACGAACGAAGGAACGAAGAAAGAAGTTGATGAAGTGGTGGAAGGCGCTAATTTCCACGTCGTGATAATAAAAAAGCAGAAAGGTGACAGGTGCTTCGCGGAGACGTGTGGTCAATGTCCCATCTTGACGCCATTATATCTATTTCCTTATCAAATTACCAAAATTCCAGTCGGGTTCCTCCCTACGCCCGTACGCCCACGGTTTCGTACGTAGGCTAGCTGCCCCTGGTTAGCGGATTTTTTTCCCTACAGTTGCGGGACCGTGTTTGAGAGCTGAATTCTGTCCAGTGTACTTGTGAGTTGTGACAGTTAAGTGAGTTAACATGGCATTCAATCCTACTAAAGCCGGTGAAGGCAGCTTCAATCACCATTTAAAATAGCCAGGTGGCAATTTTCTATTATTCAGCAACGTGCTCGCTTGATTGAGTTGAATAATTCTGTTGTTATTGGTGGCAAACTCGGCGGCTGGCCTCCTATACCGATTTATTTAATGTCATGTTCACCATTGCTATGGAAACCGTAGGGGATTATGGAGCCTTAAATAAGGGTAACCCCAACCCCTGTGAGTAAGAACCAACGTGTTGCGGTGTTGGTGCCTCTGAACTTGAAATTTTGACCGAAAGCGTAGTTTTATTCTTGTTATAGGCAGATAGATTCTTTATTAATCACGGGTAGGCACGTAGTTTTGGATGGAATTCAGGGGATTATGGAGCCTTATACCGGCTGCCGTTATACTGTCCTCTCTGAAACTCTCCTATGATCGCTGCTAAATATACCCAAACCTAAGAGAGTCCTCCCATACGGTATGTCAACTACCAAATGATTTGATACTGAAATTGATACATTCATTTCTTATTATCTTGTTTGTCTGTCTGCTTCTTGTTGCTTAGAGGGAATTTTAACTTTTCTCCCCTGTTTTTTTTCCTCTTCCTAGTGAAGGTGTTTGTTTTGAGCTGAAATACAGGGTTTGCTGTGATGGTTTCGGTTTTAATTGCAGTTGTTTTGGATGGGGTTGAGGATTTTGATTTCTAATTTCTGAGAGAACATATGATTTTCGAATATGGGTTGACAAGGGATTTATGAAAAATGGAACTATGCTTCTGAAATGAAATCCCTTCCTTTTGTTTTCCTTTTTCAAAATTAGTTTTTTCTCTCATCGTTATGAACATTTGGCAGCTACGCTGGTCACTTCAGTTTGAGTCTTCGGTTTGATATGCATCTCAGAGTACAATTTTGAAGTCTTCCTTTTCTTTTTTTTACTAGTTCTCGAATTTTCAGAAGTCTGAATTTTTGCTTTATTGTTGAATTTTATGAAGTTCAATATTGGGGTTGCAGTGATTTATTTCCATTTTTTGTGGAATGCTGCTTTTGTGAGTTTTTTGCAGTTACATGTTAATTCCAAATTGGAAGTTTTCTTTTTATTTTTCTTTCGAAATTCTATTCTCACCAGGAACTTAAAACTTGTTTTCTTCCCCTGTTCAGAAATGGCTTTGATCGACGAAATGACCTAGGACACCTGTGCTTGTAATTTCCTTTTTTTGCTCTTAATAAATGCCCTGCTTACTCTTCCCCCCCCTCCCCCCCCCCCCCCCAAAAAAAAAAAAAGACTTTATCTGCTTATGTTGAAACTTGAAAGTGACATCTTGTTTTCGCCTCTATTTATATATATTTTTTTGGGTGAGGGGATTGGGGGAGGGGAGGGAAATTTATATTCTTATTTCTTTCTTTTTTGGAGTTTCAGTGGTCTTTGGATTGTTCCCCCTTTTCATTGTTATACTTATTCCATGTAAAAGCTGAGAGTATGGATAGTGCCAAATTATCAGGTGTAAAATCCCAATTTTGGTGTGGAAATAAGTTTTGAGCTCTTGTTTTGGCATCCTGTTAGGGTTTTCTATAGGGCTTTTCCTTCTAACCGATATATTCATCAGTCATCAGAGGGCAGAAAGTTGGTTATTGTACTTGCTTTAAACATGTCATACATGCAGGTGCTTTAGAATTTATATGATGGGTCTCATTTCAATGTTGTTCTATGTCATAGAAAGACCTTATCAGATGATTGTCCTTCCAAGTTCCAACCCGTTAACTTTTTTTGAAGGTTCAGTATATCTTTTTGACAGTGAAGTAGAACTCACTGACAGTATATCTAGGACCCAGTATCAGTTGGTGTAGTTGGTACTTTTGGCTTGTGGGATGTCCTGCTGATACGCACAGAATGTTGTACCTGACCCTTCTGTGTGTGTCACCCGAACATCCTCTGGATTTTTTACTACAAATAAACCAAATTCTTCTGTTGACAATAGGAAGGAAAAGAAATGATAGTGAGAACTCCTAATGACATAGTTGTACATTGTCCCTTGGTTGCCTACTATCTGGTAATACTAGTGCTCTTTCAGAATTCTTTTCTGCAATTAAAATCTTTATTTTCCAAGTTTCTATATAGTATGCTGAAATTAATAATTGATTTCAAGAATCTATTAGAGATATTTTTACCGGATGTGTAATTTTCCAAGTTTCCCTCAAATAGCTGTAAAAACATCCAGGGTTCCTACATCCAAGATTTCAAAAGGATGAAGGTGTTGCTGAGGCATTACGGCCCAAAGAGGTGAAACATAAGCTTCAAAAAACAAAAGAGTCATCAAACCTTATAAATGACAAAAAGAACATAATAGTAAAACATTATACAAGGTAAAAGCATTTAAAAACAAGAGTCTTAACATAAGCTATATGTTGTAGCATTCAACAAGTAACAAGTTGTCAACTAACAACCATGAACCTTCCACATTAGAGTTCCAAAATCCAGATTTCCAAATTGTTCAAATGACCAATCCTAAATGTTCTAAGCTCCAAGTAATTTTTGTCCATTATCATATTTGTGGTCACTAATAGGATCATTTTCTGAACCATCCATTCAGAATGGGCAAATTTGTCAATAAAATCAATGAAATTAATTAAAAGGAAAAAGGATGAAAATAGGGCAAATCATCAATTGCTTGTAGATAGCATATGAAAAAAAACAAGTTAGATTTCTGCTCACCCAAGGGTGTAGGAATGTCAGGAAAAAAAATGAATCAATTTGATTAAGAACAAGGAAAAACCATCACCCCGCTGACTCAACCCTATAAACCATGAAAAAGAGTTCTGAGACCCAAAGAATTCGACATCTTTTCTATTATTTGGTCTATAATTACCAAAACTACCCTGTCTATGCAAGTTAAAGTTTTAAAAATATTAAAAACGAAATTAAAAAAATTACGTCAAAGAACATCTCGGTCGCTAAGTTTTGATATTTAAACATTTAATTGCCTCAAGCGTTGAGGAATGAGGCATACACCTCATCTAATGGAGTGCTAAGCTTCAATCCTATACTTTGAGAATCAAGCCTTGAGGCATCTTCATTGTGCCTCACGCCCTCACCACCAGGCATAGCATGCCTCTTATCTCAAGGCTTGTCTTTTAAAACCATGCCTGCATCCTCTATTTAGGCAAATTTAGTCTGAACCTCTTGTAAGAACAAGTTCTCTTAATAACTATGGGGCACTTTTCTTTTAGTTAATAAGATCTTTATATATAATAAGAAAATGAATAGGCATTCACTACATTTTCTGTAAGTTGCTTGTGCTTTTTCATGTATGTATAGCCTGCCTAAAATGAATTGAAGAGTTATTTCAAACATCTTTTCACCTGAATAAGCCCTTGAAAATGATCCTTTCATTCTTTCAAAGCTTTGACGAATTCCTTAAGGGTATTATTTTGCTAGGCTAACCCAAAATCAACTGATCAACTTGACTTGTAGGCCAGGTGCCATCATTTTTTCAATCTCTAATTGGCCTTGAACTAGGAATTCCTGCCCCTTTACAATTTTCACTGTTATATAGTAGTAATTTCTTTGCTCAGTAGTTCTAAAGTTCTCCAAGTCTGGAACTAGGGGCCATTTGATAACAGATGAAGTGGTTGAACTGAATGACTTATTGTTTTGTCTTTTTGTGAATAAGTTATTAAGGAATCTCTGAGCTCCTTAATGGCTGAAGATGAAGTTGGGTTGATAACTATATCCTGAAATGTTTAGTGTTTAATTATTTTTATCCACTAAAAGACAGAGCAATAATTCATTCAGTTTAGCCACTTACAGGTGTTAGCAAGCAGCCCCATTAATTTGGTTCCAACTTATATGACATTGTAATTGTTATCCAAGCCTAACTTCAACCGATCAAGATAACCTGACCAAAACTGGACAGGTTTAAGTAAATTTCAGGTTAGGCACATCGCAATCAAAGTTTTGGTTCTCTTTCTGTTTGCACTATGGATATATGCAAATCATATATTTCTGTATAGGACATAATATCATACACCTTCAATATGTAACATATACATATTGAGGAAACCATGCAAAGTGCACCAGGAAATATCACTCTCACCTAGAGAATGCTTTGACAACCATGTTTTCAGCTGTTATTATGGGCTCCTAGCTTATCTCTACCTGCATGATCTCATATCCCTTCAATTCAACGAAAGCAAGTTACATGAACATTAACAGGGGGAATGCCAACAATCTTGTTGCACCAACTAGATCTCATAAGTACTTGTTCTCAATGTATCCAGATTGCCCCATATTTTTCAAGAAACCACAATAACATCAAAGATTCATCTGTGGTGCTCTGGACCACCATAATGTCTGATTCTTAAAGTATGGTTCGGTGTCTCAGACAACCTGTCTGGTGAATCCCTTATATATGGACAAACTAATTATTATGGACTGGCTAATTATTATTGGGATATCTATGGTGTTTTGTATTCTGGCTCTGCGTGTGCATAGTTCTCCTTAATCATTTTCACCATCAGATGTGATATGACCCTGTTTAATCTTTCCTGCAGGCTATTATGTTGAGTTGTTAGCTTTCCATTTTCAAGAGGCATAAATGGTATCGGAATAGGAGAATTATTTCTGGATCTGCTAATTCAGTGTGGTTGTGGCTTGGTACTGTACTGCTGTACTGGCTGTTTACAAAAAGAAAAGTTCCATGCTGAATGCACAAATACCAAATAGCACCAGTAAGACATGACCTTTTAACAGATGAGTTCTCAGCTAAAGTCTGAGAACATTTCTTCACAAAAGAAGTATCAATATTACTCTGGGTTTCCTGTGGCTGGGTTAAGTCAATTAGTAGGCTATTCTTCAATGCAAACTTCTCAGAAATACAGGCATTCAGTTGGGTCCCACAGCTCATATTATCAGCCTGTTCAGGAGGTTGGGTCCTATTGTTTGCCTCAGAATTTCCAAAATTTGGATCACCAATGCTCCAAAGCAAGCAGCCAAGAGTCCAACTTTCCCATTCAAACTTCTCATGAACAGTACTGTACCCTGGAGTCATCTTCGGCAACTGGCAGTTACACCGTTTATAGTTCCCCGTCTACTCTCAGTTTCTCACCTAACGGGAGTCCCATATCACAGCAGGATTCTCATTCCTACCCAGCAGATCCACATCATTCTCATTCCCCCGACTGTACTCATGGATCACCAGTAAGTGGGTCATGCATAACAGATGAGGTCAATGATCTAAGGCACAAACTGAGAGACCTGGAAACTGCAATGTTGGGGCCAGAATCAGATATTGTTGACAGTTTCCATGAAAACCTTGGTGGTGGAGATGACCAAGCCCCGTTAGAGATAGAGAAATGGAGAGAAATAACAGAGATGATCTCTAGAGGAGACTTGAGAAATTTGCTCATTGCATGTGCACAAGCTATAGCAGATGACGATTTATCAACAGCAGATTGGTTGATGGCTGTGTCAAGGCAAATGGTGTCAGTCTCAGGGGAACCAATCCAACGCTTGGGTGCCTACATGTTGGAAGGTCTGGTTGCAAGGTTGGCATCTTCAGGGAGTTCAATCTACAAGGCCCTGAGGTGCAAAGAGCCTGCAAGTGCTGAGCTCCTCTCATACATGCACATTCTGTATGAGGTTTGCCCATACTTCAAGTTCGGATATATGTCTGCTAACGGTGCCATTGCAGAAGCTTTGAAGGATGAAAGAAAAATCCACATCATTGACTTCCAGATCGCACAGGGCAGTCAGTGGGTCACTCTTATCCAGGCTCTTGCGGCTCGTCCTGGTGGACCCCCACAAATCCGCATCACAGGAATTGATGACTCCACCTCAGCCTATGCCAGGGGAGGAGGACTTCATATTGTAGGGCAGAGGCTATCGAGGCTTGCAGAGTCGTGCCATGTGCCCTTTGAGTTCCATGCAGCAGCAATGTGTGGAAGTGAAGTGGAGCTTGAAAACCTCTGTATTCGACCTGGGGCTGGGGAGGCTCTGGCTGTGAATTTTGCATTCATGCTCCATCATATGCCAGACGAGAGTGTGAGCACTCAGAACCACCGGGACAGGCTTTTGAGATTAGTAAAGAGCTTGTCACCTAAGGTGGTGACACTGGTAGAGCAAGAGTGTAATACCAACACTGCACCATTTGCTCCACGATTTATAGAGACACTGAACTATTATACGGCCATGTTTGAGTCAATTGACATGGCATTACCAAGAGATGACAAGCAACGGATCAATGTGGAGCAGCACTGCCTAGCGCGAGATGTGGTCAACCTTATAGCATGTGAGGGTGCTGAGAGGGTGGAACGTCATGAGCTTCTTGCGAAGTGGAGGTCTCGGTTCACAATGGCTGGGTTTACTCCATACCCATTGAGCTCGTTGGTAAATGCCACCATCAAAACTCTTCTGGAGAATTACTCTACAAACTATAAGCTGGAAGAGAAAGATGGCGCACTCCATCTTGGCTGGATGGACCAGTCTCTGGTTACCACATGCGCATGGAAGTGAATAATTCATCACTTAGTGCCACGGAAGTAAATGGTTATTAGCACTTAGCACACTGATCATCGACTCCGACTCCTCTTTTGCTGTCTATTATTAGTTGTAGTTCATCACTCAAGTAAAATATGTAATGTAATCTTCTTGCCTTCCCCCTTCAAAGAAAAAAACACTAGTGCTTTGAGTTGTTCTTGGTTTTCCAACTTGGATATTTGAAACTACTAAGTTCTGTCATTAAAATTTTGATGCTGTAGTTACTAGTTAGCCTTTGCCCAAATGAGTATATTATGGAAGGTGTCAGCTCTTTGAGCTTGTCTTTTCTTGCTAGGCAAATAGGTTTATTCAATAACCTGATGAAGGTTGATTTTGTACCAAAGCTAATTCATATTTATTACTATTACCATTATTAATTTTTTTTTACGTCATAAATATCATATAATACACATTACAAGGGGATTAAGGGGGTGGGGACAGAGAAGGTGCACGTGAGGTCCACTGACCTTACCAGAGTTTGCAGTTAGCCAAGTGATCATGAATATCTTCTTATTGTTCAGCAAGTTTGGTGAATTTGTAGTCTGAAAATTTATTAATTAAAGGTCCCCTTTTCCGCTTTAGGAAAATGTATTGCATTGGTATGGACCATATGGTATGATTCTATTTCTGGATAAATCAAACCTAAATTAATCTCCTAAATCAAATAAAAAAAGCTACCCTAATTAAATTTATGATGCGGATAATTAATCCAATTAAAGAAAATCAAAATATATGTAGGGTGGAGTTGCCCCCATACAACAATGGTAATTAATTAAGTATATCAAAACTTGGACCATTCATCGACCCAAAAAGCTGGCATGGCAACGGGTTTGGCAGTTCAACTGGGGTCGACTGTCAAGAACCAACTGATCAACTTCCGGGTAACCAGATCACCTTTTAACCATCCAGGTCAATGACTAAATGATGGTTTGAAAACAGTGGAAGGCATGCATAGTGTATTTTCTACTTGTTGAAGACAAGATTAATGGTATCTGATCTCCCAAATTGAAGTAATAGCAATTAGGGTTTTTCTTAGCAGAAACTAAGAAGTAAGAACTGTAAACAAAAAGGTAGCTCTTCTCTTAGCACGCTATAGTATACAAGTTCTGGGGTCATAAACTTTTACCTGTATACCCGTGTCACATTTGTACACATTGGGTTTTCAAAGGTTAATAATGGCATATACAATAAGAGGCAGCATTCAGGAGGAGAAAACACAGTTGCAGTAAACAGTTATGAGATACAGCAATAGGGGGATTTAGTGAGTTATATATACTTCCAACGAGATACTTGCCTTGGGAGAACACCCACAGTTCTTATTGTTGTTGGAACATGTAAATAAAACTTAAGGGCCCATTAGTAATTTTCCCATGTTCTGCTGATAGGAGTTAGATGAATGACTTAAAGGTGGAGCCTCAAAGCTAAAGTTTTCAGCTCTATCTTCTCTAGATCCATACCGAGCCACGCCATCATTTAAACCAGCATAATATGCCGAAACAGGGGTCGCCTGAATTATCATACTACAACCAGGATTGGTAATATTCATTTCAACACTTTGTGCAGGTTTAGCATCCAGTATTTGCTGCGTTTCATTTGATCTATTTTCGGGACTTGAGCTGATGCCAACCCCAAGATCAAGGCTAATATCGTTTTCTTCCACTCTAGAACTTAAAACACCATTTAATGTTGCACCATAATTGGTGCTTCCTGTTGTGTCATGACTACTAGCCCTTGCAGCAGGTACATCATGATTATGTTTTCCCTCGTATGTTGTAATAACTGCTTTTGGATCATGGGACGCCCTCTCCACATGTTTCCTAACTGGGCATCCAGCATTTGTACACTTGTAATAACTCCTACATGACATGAGAAGGAAAAGAAGCATCATGGACCCCAAATACAATCACAAAAACAGACATCACGTTTGACCAACTATCTTTCATAAGAGAACGATTTGGCAGTCAAGAAACAATGCATTCCTATCCAAAGTGAGCATGCTTAAAATAAAGATCTAGAGCCAGAAGCAGCAAGATGATAAAATTAGAAACAAGCACACATTTACAAAAATGCAGGTAGTTCAATAGGTTAAAAATATGTTAACTTAATTGATTCTCTTTCTTGCTTGGTGAAAAGAAAAGAACAATGATGTGTACAGCCTATTTGAGTAGGCTCTGACAGGATATTGAAACTAAGTTAAAGAACAATGATTGATGAAAAGAAAAGAACAATGACAAAGAAATGGAAGTATGGTTTCAATCTGAAGGAAAGTGGGGCGAGGAGAATAAAGGAAACCATAAGTTAAACAAGCAAGAAAGAGAATCAATTAAGTTTACATATTTTTAATTAGTGTAGAAAGCACTTCTCTGGTAGCTTACAAGATGGTGAAGCTGAAAGGGCTACAATGAGCAACAACTCAAGGAGAATGAAACAATACCTAATTGACTGAAAGAAGAAAAACACGGACAAAATTAAATCAATGTTTTAAAACGCAGAGGTATGACATGAGGCATTCCACTACCTGGAGGTGTGTGAGGTGTAGTTCAGAACGTCAGAGGCGTAAGCCTCCCGAACACAGAGGCACAAGAGGAGGGGGTGAGGAGGAAGGAGGGGGAGTAGGAAGAAGAGGAAGGAGGATCTCATTTTTCTTTATTTTTAATAAAAATCTTTTATACTAAGAACAAAGATGCATAACATTAGCTGAAAAAGGTGGGTCTTGTCTTCCCTATATTTCTCCTTTCTCTTTCCATCCCTTCCCTTTTCTTTTCCCTTTTTTTCTTCTCTTTCTTTCTTTATTTTTCTTCCCTTCCCTTTCTTTCCCTCTCTCCCTTTCTTTGCCTTTCCTTTCTCTTTTTTCTTTTTAGGTTTTTTTTGTCCTTTTGTATGAGGTGTGTGTGAAGTGCATGGAGGCGTACACCTCTAGCATGCCTCATAAAAAAGGCATATGAGGCGCACACCTCTTGCACCTGAGGCATATGCCTCAGATGTATCAACGCCTCTGGCAAACACCTTAGGGCATTTGAGGGGCACCTCACTTACACCTCTCACACCTTTTGAAACACTGAAATAAATGTTAGGTGATAAGGATGAACACTGAAGTTGTAAGCATGTTTGAACTGAAATGGTAACTAAGGCTGCATTTGGTAAGAGTGCAAATGCTGAACCCAAACAAAGTTATACTCCAGTCCAGTTTTGCAGGCATTTGCTAAGAACATGTTTTTGCACTGGAAATGACAGCAAATTTATTTTTTCTAACATATTTGCATCTAAAATAAGAGCAAAGTTTGCCTCCAATTAAAACTTTTTACTCAAACTAAACCAACCTTGCATTTTGATGAACCGTAGATATTTACATTTGCAATCTTACCAAATGCAGCCTAAAGGTCCATAAAGAGAACAAGAAGACATTTTTCTATTGTGTAATAGAAGTTTCTGAGTTATTGAATCAAAAGGAACATCCTCTAATATCCTCATGCAAGATGACAAAAGAAGGCCTCTGAAAAAGTTGTTATGACCACAAACCTCAAAACCCACTAAGACCAGCCAATCAAACTGTCTACCCAGTCAAACTGCATTAACTGGCTTAAAAAGACCAAAAATTTGAAGTCTTAACATCTATAAATTTTCTTTCATCAGAATCCATAACCAGGTCAATCAGTTCATCCCTGAATCTAGACCAAGTTGAACTAATCCACTCAACTTTCAGTTAGGATATTTAAAATACTGATTCCGTACCCTCTTGACAACACTCCCAATTTACTGCACTAATTGGACAAGCCAGATTTGCACACAAGACCTTGTAATTGCAAGCAAAAGTGAAATCATTGAAATATCCATACCATGCATATTACTAATATACATATATGTTTAAAATCTTATTAAAACATCATAGAATCATATGAACTTCATAGTTTTTGTAATGCACACAACATTTCTTGGTGTATGATGTAATATAAACTGATGCTGAGGACATTGTCTATGGTCGTCAAGGTGTTTCCCAGGCTGGTGCATGTTTGTCTTCTTTGCAATTTGTGATTTGTTTGTAAAGATTCATGGACCTTTGCTGGAAGTTGTTAAAGGGTTATTAATCTAATTAGACAATGCATGCAAAATCTAAATATTTTAACTGCGCTAAAGTCTCAACCCTGTTAGTCTTCCTACCAAATAAGCCACCTAGAAGTATCAAACCAAATTGTTCATCTTTTGGATAAATGTAGAGTACAATGTATTGAACTCCAATCTATTCCACAGCTTGGAAGACTGACTTTTCACGAGAATAAAAAATGATAAACAAATATAAGCCAGATACTCTTACACAAGCATTTTGCAACATGTATAGACTTTGTAGGTGGCATAGACAAAAGGCAAGGCACTAACCAAAAATGGAGCAGTTCTATTAAAATCCAAAATTTGACAAGAAAAAAGAATACTTGGAGCTCAGTTTTATGAGGATACAAGCATAGTGAAACTAGGAGTCATTGCTTGGTGTAATGGAAAAGATCTAAAACAAAAATCAGGGCCAAATCCAGTCCACCACCCCTCCCAAGACCCCAGAAAGCTAGGACCAACATTGGGTAATGGCCTTTTTATAATCATAGTGAAACTAGGTATCCCAACCTAAGACTTTAAAAATCAATAAAATAGTTTTCAAGTCAATTAGGCATCATCTAGGCACATAGGCATTGACATTATATGTACAAGTATTAAAACATATTGGCAGCTGAAGAATTAAGTTGTCGATGCATGAAGAGTGTATACATTGGAAAAGAAAAACAGAAGAAAAATATCCAGTTTACATAGAAATGGCTTATTACAGCAGTCACACTTAATCAAATTTTGTGCATGTGGTGCCATGCTAAAGTGTCCAAATTACATATGACATAAAAGAAAAGAAAAAGAAAACAAAGTTTAAATGTATCACAAAATGTGCTACCTTTGTTAAAAAGATTTGGAAATGCATTAAAAAATATTGAGGAAACAGCCCAAATCAAAAAAGTTATGAGCATGTTTTCTGGTTGAAGAAAGGAATGCTAATACACATTTGTCCAGTAGAAATATTCTGTAAAGCATTAGCAACCAAGGGGCCATTGCTTGGTTTCATGGTAAAACCTCATGTTGACACATGAGAACAGAGAGTAGAGTCTGAGAACAACCATTTCACACATTAGAAATGCTAGAGGTTAGGTATGTAACCAGTCCACCCTTCCCAAGACACAGGATATCCTGGAGCAGCATTGGGTAAATGGGCAATGGGCAATGGCCTTATTTAACATAAGCAACCAAAAGAATGTGCACAATCTTTACATTGATAATGCTTTTTATTTTTTGAGAAAAGGTAACGTATTGTATTAAAGAAAAAACACTGCTACTCTACACAACCAGAAACTGTGAACACAAAAAAAAAAAAAAAAAAAAAGAAAAACATCTGTACAAAAAGTGATGTTCAGACATTACAAAAATAACAAAGTGAAACTCAAAAAAGAGCTATAAGGAACATCTGTAAAATTTCTGTCCATTGCAACCCAAGAGTGAATTCTACCCAGAATTCCTTTACAATTAAATCTTCTGAATTCTCCACCGCTTCAAAAATTCTGCTGTTTCTTTCCAACCACACAGTCCAAAATAATGCCAAAGGAATCACTTTCCAAACTACTCCCCTTTTTATTCAGGCCCTTCAACTGCCAACTTGTTAACAGCTCTAGCACAGATTTTGGAAAACAAAAGTGTAGCCCAAAAAAGTCGAACACTTTGGACCACACCCATCTGCAAACTAGCAATGCAAAAATAAGTGGTCAACAGATTCCACTTCCTCACTACAGAAAACGCAGTTAGAGTTATCAATTAGAACCCCCCTTTTCAGTAGGTTATCTGTAGTCAGACATTTGTTGAGAGACGCTGTCCACATAAGAAATGCAACCTTCTTCAAAGCAACTGTGCACCAAACGCTCTTCCAAGGGAAATTGCCCATCCCTCTCTCCACCAGCTTACTATAAAAAGATTTAACTGAAAAACAGCCATCCTTGCCCCACCCCCACACTCTTTTATCAACTTCCCCCAATCTGTTTGGTATAAAACTGTACAGTTTATGTTAGGGGTGCGGTGCTCACAGTTCAGTTAACCGAACCATGGGCCTATTTTCCAAACAGAAATGGTAGTACCGGTTTTTGGAAAACCAGTAACCAAAACCAAACCAAAGCCAATCGGTTCAGTTAACCATCGGTTTTTTGGTTTTTTGATCTTTATAATATATATTATAAATATATAATAAAAAACTAGAAATACATATAAAATACTATATTATAAAAAATAAATAATACACTATATATTATAAATTTATATATCTATATATAATGCATAAATATTCATTTATAATATAGAGATAATAAAAAATATATATAATATACATAAATATATATATACTGGTCGGTTCGATTAACTGCCGGTTTTTTATATTGGTTAACCGAGAACCGAACCAGTACCTTCGGTGTTTCAAAAATACCAAACTAATCGATTCAGTTAACTGGAATTTTCAGTTCGGTCTCATCGGTTTGGTTCGGTTTTTCGGTTTTCCATGATCACCCCTAGTTTATGTATTATATCAGCCAATTGCTCTACCTCCCAATCGTTTAAGTTTCTCCTTGTTAGTGAAGGGGTATTTCGGTCTTTGTACCTGTTGAGATTGCTGAGTTGTTTTATTATGTTAGTTCGAGTGCCTCTTACTTAAATAAGGGCACTGATGTCTTTTCCTATCACATTAATAATATAATAACAGGTCTGGCCGAAAGTAGGGTTTGATTTTTTCCTAATTTCGAACCAGACCTTTTCTCTCTTTCTTCCTCTTTCTTCCTTCTTCTTGCTT